TTCCCCGCAACCGTCCTTCCCCCGGACCCGCTCTTTTTTTCCCGTCTCGGTTGCAGTGCTGTGTCTGACTGTTGTCTGTCAGGGTCCTTCCTGTTCTCGTACTCTGTGAGCATTCCAGCCTTCTCGTGGTGAAGCTATCCCCAGGCACCCGCTTCTTCTCGCTTCGTTGAGCTTCGCATCCTCTCCTGCCACGTTACTGTTTCTGCTTTGAGGTTATCTGTCATACTTCGAGCTCTCGCCTGCCGTCTCCCACCCGCTGCCAACCCCACCTCACAACCATCGTCGCATGCTCAAGGCTGTCTCCCGCCATGCTCGCACAATGGGCACGATGACCACGAGATGCCCGCCCAAGGAACCCCTCGTGGTCATCCTGGGCTCGACCGGTACCGGCAAGTCCGACCTCGCCGTCGAGCTCGCGACGCGCTTCCGCGGCGAGGTCATCAACGCCGACGCCATGCAGCTGTACCAAGGCCTCCCCGTCATCACCAACAAGATGACGACGGTCGAGCGACGCGGCATCCCCCACCACCTCCTCGACCACATCCCCCTCGACGAGCCGGCCTGGATCGTCGGCGACTTCAAGCGCGAGGCCAACAAAGTCATACGCGAGATCCGCAGCAGGGGCAACCTCCCCATCGTCGTCGGCGGCACGCACTACTACACCAACGCGCTGCTGTTCGAGGACATTTTCGTCGGGCCCGACCACAATGACGACGGAGAGGCTGCGGCCGCCGCCGACGAAGCCACTGCCTCCGACGCCGGCCGCTTCCCGATCCTCGACGAGCCAACAGAGGTCATCCTGGCCAAGCTGCGCGACGTCGACCCCGTCATGGCCGACAAGTGGCATCCCAACGACCGGCGCAAGATCTCGCGCTCGCTGCAGATCTACCTCAGCCACGGGCGGCCGGCGTCGGAGATCTACGCCGAGCAGAAGCGCCGCAACGTCGCCGCCGCCGCCGCCGCCCAGACGGCGCCCCGCGGGCCCTGGGAGAATCTCCTCTTCTGGGTCTACTCGGAGCCCGAGGTGCTCAAGCCGCGCCTCGACAGGCGCGTGGACAAGATGCTGGACGTCGGCCTCATGGACGAGGTGCTGCAGATGCAGGACCACGTGCGGGCCAAGGAGGCGTCGGGCGAGGAGGTGGACTACACAAAGGGCATCTGGCAGTCGATCGGTTTTAAGGAGTTCCAGCCATACCTCCTCGCCGCCGCCGCGACGCCCGCCGACCCAGATGTCGAGAAGCGCAAGGCGCAGGGCCTCGAGGACATGAAGGCGTCGACGCGGCGCTACGCCAAGTCGCAGGTCCGCTGGATCACGACAAAGGTCGTGCCGCGCCTACAAGAGCAGCCCGGCGCCATGGACAGCCTCTTCCTCCTCGACAGCACAGACGTGGCTCAGTGGGCCGCCAACGTTGCCGAGCCCGCCGCCGGCCATCGGTGCAAACAGTTCCTCGGCGGGCGGAGCCCCCGCCTGAGCCGGTCGGGCCTGTCGCCGCCTGGGCCGGAAAGGTCCTCCGAGGCAGAAAACGCAGGGCGCACGCCGGGGTCAAAAAAAGGTGCCACCTTGTGCCAGGTCACCTGCACGACGGAACCAGGACTGGGAAGAAGCACATGCGCAGCAGGGGCACCATGGCCATCCGCGCGAGAGACGAAGAGACGGGCCCTCCGTCGTGGTCCAAGCCGAAGCAAGCCGGGAAAGAGGCGAAGGTAGCCATAGCCGCCGAGTCTAGGGACTCGAGCCCCGAGATAGGGTTGAGTGCATTTGACTTGCCTGCGCCGTGATGTAGCCGATCCAGAAGGTCGCCAATAGAGTGCGTCGTCTTTGGTACATCATGATGGTGCTGAGGTTCGACAGACGACTAGAGTCTTCGTCCTCGACATGTGGCTTTCGGTTCCAGCGCTTTCGTCTTCGTCTGCTGCCTCTGAGCATGGTGCCATCTCATGTCAACATGCCATCCTTCAAAGTATATCTCGAAAGACAACATGACCAGTGCGGCTGCCCCTTGCGAAACCGAAAAGAACACGACCGAGATGGGACGAACTCGGTCGCGAAAGCGAGGCTCCATCGTGAAGTACTGCCCCAAAGCGCCACGAACGCCAATCCCGTGTGCAGTGCACATCAGACCACGACAACCTGCAGCGCCGATTGACATCTGTACAATTCAAGCTGGATGGGAGCCTCCAAGCCAACCGCGATCAGATCATCCATCCCCCAGCAGCCAGGGAACTGCAACAGCATAGTCCCAAAGAAGAAAAACCCAGCCCATCATCGCCAATCGTGCCAACAACCCCAGTCAATCAAGCCCTCTCTTCCTCATTTTGCCGCCCTCACCTGACCACCCTCTCTCCCGGCACCCGGCCCCTTGCTGCCCACCCATCCCTCATCCCCCATTCTCCCGTCACATACAGAACTGCAAGCCCACAAGGCCGCCGTGCCGCCCGCCCGCATATTGGACCCCCCCGGTCCCATCCCATCTTCCGGGTGGGTTTTCCCCGGAACCAACTCCCGTTAAATGCATGCTCGTTATAGAGGCAGAGCCGTCTCGCTTCCTTTAAAAAAAAAAAAGAAATACTCATGCAATTCCCCACAACGGCATACCGGCTGGTACAAACGGGCGCGATGCAGTTGTTCTCGGCAGATATACGCGGCTCTGTCCCGAGGGTATAATGGGAAACATAAACAAACTGCTGGCGAGAAAAGGCGGGGGGGAGAGGTTACTTTGTGTCGGCCGTGCCGTCGCAACAAACCAATGCGACGAGACGGGCTCCTTGGCCTTTCCGGCGCGTGCAGTGTCCGAGCTGCCCGAAAGGGCCAAGAAAAGAGGCGGGTGGACTCCACTACGTCACTCTTCCTCGCCTTTCTTCTCGCGTCAATCTCGTCTTCAAGAAATACGAATCCGAATACGCCCGACGATCGTTTGGATGGAAAAGGGGAGCTGCCCGTGGCGGCGAGAAGCAGTTGAATTTCAAGCATGAGATCTGCGTGTGTATTCACGGTCTCTTGCCTATTGCCAAACGCAATAACAACGCCAGTCCCATTTCTACTACCGAAAAAAGGCACACGAATCGTGGGGTCGAAAAGACAAGCATCGTAAACGTAGACGGGAATAAAAAGCCAAAAACTGAAAACCCAATAGAGGAGAGGTTGGTCTCACTGTACACCGCGCCAGTGTCGCCCGTCATCGCTGAAACTTTCCCGTTGTCTCTGATCCGTAAAGTGTGCATCTCCCGTCTATGTCCCATCATGAACCCCCCTCATCGTACAGCTTCACCAGCCAGCGTGAGCAATGCTCTTTCTTAAGTCAGTGACCACCTCTCGACGCCCAGTCTCCAGAGCTCATGAACCGCCATGTCGTGCCCGTTCACCACCGTGGTGGTGGCGGCTGTGTTCCAAAATTTCCAAAGCCCGAAAACATGCCTGATGCTGTCCCGGGTTGCGATGTTGTTGGTCCAGACGACCCAAGGTTGCCATTGGCGACAACGCCCATGTCACCCCACATGTCCCAGTCCAGCGCCGAGTTGTCGAAAAAGTTGCCCAAAAAGTCCAATTGCCCATCAGTATGCGGCGCGCCCCCATTGTTCAGGTGCGGCATCTCCATGTGACCCGGCTGTGCGGGGCTGGGGCCGTTGCTCGACGCCCCTGAGCTCGGTTGAGGGACCCTGTCCTGAAGCTTGGGAACGCAGACAGGCACGTCAAAGGGAATACACATGGACGTGAGAGCGCGCTCGCGCTTGGCCCACGCCCTGACGATGAAGGCCGCGAGCTCCGAGTATTGCTTTTGCGACATGTCCCAGAGCTCCTCGTGGTACATGTACACCTTGTCAATGACGTGCCACATGCGGTCCGCGAGGGAGCCCGTCTGGCGGCGCTGGTAGAGCTGGCCGACGAGGAACGCGAATACTTCAAACTGAAAGTGGAGCTTGTGGAACCAAAGGAAGCTTTGGTTGTCTTGCAGCTCGTAGTATGTCAAGTTGTGCTCCTGGTGGAAGAGAGAGATGCGGAAAATGTTATCTTGGACGTTAAACACCTCGGAGCCCCATTCTGGCGTTTCACGCATCGGAATGAGCATGTGGCGGATCTTGTCGAGAATCATGGGGCGAAGACGGCTGGACATGAGGTGTGTCGGTCCGGCTGAAATATCGAGATAACGCTGTTCAATGGCAATAAGCCGCTCTTCGAGCCCGTCAATCATGGCATTGTATTTGTCGAGAGAGGCCCGAATCGAGTCACCAGGGGCGGTGCCAGGTTCCGGACCTTGGCCGAGCAGGACGACTTCCTCAAAGTCGGGGAGGCGGTTCTGCGAAATGAACTTGCCAATCTCGTAAAGGAGGATGCAGAAAATCATTTCGGTCGGGCCCTCGCGTGGTTGAAGTGGTTCTGTCGAGCCAGGGAACAGATCGGCATCGTTGACGTTGGAAGGAATCTTGGTATCCCAGCCCCATGGCAGTAGGGTGTCGTTGAATCCAGAGACTAGTGCAAACTTGGAGTCAAGCATGAGAATCTGCCACCAAACCCTCCTTCGTGTTTCGATCTCGAACGCAGTCAGGTTCAGAGTTTCGCCGTCACGATGAAGGCCCATTTTGTGAGCGATGCGGATGAGAACGCCGCTGAGGACCCATGCTGCGTGTCGGTTGTATCGACCCTGGAGGGAAATCTGCAGGGGGCGAGAGATTAGAATCCGCGAGGGCCACAAACACATATTCACTCACCAGGTACAGAACGAGAGCCTGCAATGTGGTCATGTCGTAGTTCTTCAAGAAGTTAACCCGCGTCAGTGCTGATTTAACGCCAATGGTAAACTTTTTGATCGCTTCATTTCTTGACATGTCTAGCATTTGCCTCGACTCCGTCTCGGACATTGTGATGGTGGATATCAGATAGATCGAAAACAGCAGGGCTTGAATGTTGTTGGCGACATTGCGGTGATTGGCAGCTGCCTCAACAACAATGGGTTGTAATGTCGGAACATGCACGAGCTTGGAGAGTGGGTTGACTCGCTCGAGGAATACCTGCCAGAGGCGGAAGATCTGAACCGGCGAAGGTACAACGTCCTCGAGATCAATGGAAGCAAAGTCGTTGAGTAAAAGGTCAACATTGTCATCGGGCGTTGGAGCATCAGAGGCGAAAGGGCTTGCCTCGTCCATCGCCTCGGCATCAACGATGGCTCGCATGGCGGCAACCTAGATGGTGTGAGCAGGTGCACATCAGCGCCATGTGTGAAATTGGCGACTCACATTCTCATGGATAATAGTCCACATGTGACTGTCCATGAACTTGACGCTGCCATCTTCGACGACAAGCTTGCCAGACGGCTTCCATGGCTTCGGTGATTTGTCTTCTGCTGGAGTAGGTGCAGACGGCAGGAGGTTGTAGCCAGGTGTGGGCGACGCAGCAGCCGAAGACATCGACTGCACCGTGGCCATGGATATAGGTCCTGGGGTGTAGGGGAGCTGGCTGGGGGCAAGAACAGACGAAGCGGGCGTTCCGGGGTTGGGGGATGGATTCATGCCGTCAGGTAGCGGGCCGGATGTATTGGCGTACTGCTTCAGCAAAGCCTCACAGCGTGCAAGTCTCTCTTGCAGATCTTGGTTAGGCCGCCTCCGCTTACGGACGGGAGCAGGAGTTGACGGTGTGCATGGGACGTTGGCCTAGGAATGTCAATATTGGGGCACGTGGTGAGAGTGAGAGGGGAGTGGCACGACGTATACACGTGTAAGAAAGCATACCTTGAGACAGTTTGAACACGGGGTATTGCGATCGCACTTGATTTTGCGGTGCTGGCACAAGACGCAAGCCAGGACTCGAGGGATCTTCGAGTTGTGGTGGCCGTTTGCCTGGCCGCCACCCTGCTGGCTGGGAGTGCTGTCGCTCATGATGATGACTGTGAGTCGACGGCACAAGTGGTCTGGCTATTGACTACCTGTTCGTGACGTATGGACGGCGCCACCAAGCCGGTGCGAATAAAAAAGAGTCAACTCCAGTAGTTCCAAGGCCGGGGATGGCGGGAAGATAAAAAGGACAGCCTGAGGCCCTTGAAACTTGAGTTCGTGGGGTTGAGCGGCACCGGGCAAATTGAGCCTCGCTTCGCGGTGTTTTCCTCGTCGCAATGAGGGGCGAGTGCGGGTTCCTACGTAGGATGGCCTGACTGGGCTGTGAACTGCAACTGCAAGATGAGTCAAGTTCAGCACAGCAGTTGCAGGTTTTGTCGCATGCAACGTAGGTAGGTGCCTGAAGAAGAGCCAAGCAGGCGGCCGCCAACCGGGGGGTCGGTGTTGTTGTGTGAAGATGAGGAACACGTAAGACGATAGGGACCTGGGTCGTTGTGGAAGGGTAAGTGAAATGAGAGGTGGGTGGCTGAGTTGAAAAGACGGGCGCGAGGTCAGAGGCGCCCTGTGGTCGAGGTCAGCGTCAGGCTGAACAGGAGACGACGGCAGGAGAAAAATAAGGCAGTCAAGTGGTAAGGTCTAATGGAGAGCCCAGAGTCCGGACTTTAGAGACCTGGAAGCGCAGTCCGTCAGGCCGAGGAGCTGATGAAGAGAAGGGGGCGGCGCAGAATGGAAGGGTAGCAGTCGTCTTCTCTCGGGTTCCAATTGTACTGCTATGCATCCGGGAGGGAGAGGCGCCGGGACCATGGGGATTGTGTACGCACAAGTATCGTGTTTGGGTCGCTACGCTTTGCGAAGCTTTCGGCCAGCGGGACTTGTGACCAGGCGTTCCCTAGCACTGGGGGCTTTGACTGGGTCGGGTGCCTTGCGTTGAGCAGGGTGCGATGTGACGGACAGCACGTGAATGTGGTAGAGGTGGAAAACTGCGGAGGAGGAGAAAGTGGTAGTCGGCAGGGATGGAGGGATCGTTGTTCCGGCAATCCCGCGCGCGTGGATAGCGGGTGGGTGGTGGGCGTTGAGGCTGCTGACAACGTGCTAGCTCGAAAGTCTTGTGTGGTGGGTGCGGTGCAACGTCGAGTTTAGTAGGATGGCTTTGATCGGCTTGGTAATAAGGATGAAAGAAGGGATGCGCTTCCTACGCCTAGTTGGGTTGGGGCGGCGCGGAGAGAATGACGGCGTCGGCGGACTTTTGCGGAAAGGAACAAAGAGACGTGCGGCAACTCGATTCTAGATCAACAAATTGTATCTGCACTGTCGACACGAGACAGTTTTTTGCTTCCCTCTGGCCTGGTTGAATTTTGCCAACAGCCAGAGCACCGTGGTGAATCTGGTAAGCGACAGCTAGGTTGGGTTGAGGTTGCGAGAGACGAAGAGACCAAGCTGCTCGGGGTGCCGGCCGGGTCCGTGACTCCCCCAGCAGGTACTGTACGCCGAGTCGTCTGTTCGTAATCGTACCTACAGCGCGCGTACGTAGGGAACTCTCAGGTCACCAGGTGGGCTGGGTCGAGACGGGCAGGCTGGCGCAGGCCAATGCCGTGGGCCACCGGGGAGAGGGAGAAGGGTCTAAGGGGACTGGAGGGGTCAGACTGTGACGACATCAGCGGGTTGTGGGCGGGCTACTGCAACCTGGTATCGACAAGAAACACTAGCCCTGAAGAGCCTGTCACCAACAGCATTCGGCCCTGGGCTTTGGAGCCCTGGTCTGGGCCCTCTCTCTGGCTGGGTTCAGGGGTGGCTTGGGGGGGAGTGCCCGGGCCTCTGGTTTTGACGTTAGGAGGGGTCAACCTGGCGCACTCGATGTGTAGCTTGCTACGTTTTGCAGCGACGTCTTATCGTACGACACCTTGGGCCATCGAATGGATGATGGGCGAGGATACTGGCAGAGGCGACTCTGGTGGTAGGGGCGAAGGTTATGGTCGATCTCGGTATGTGGGAAAGACGACAGACAGAAGAGGTGGGTGAAGTGGGGTGGGTTCTCCTGGTGGCTGCCAGCTGGCCCTGGATAGGACGCGCAGGGCGGGCAGGATAGGTTGGATGGCTCTTGGCCTGGTCGATTCGGGACGATTTGGCCATCTGCCTTGCCGGCTTGCGCTGTCGAGCAGTTGCGTTTTTACGATGGCTGCGTCGCTACTTCCCCACCGGCATGACTGGCTTAGCCGCTTCCGCCCTAGCGGCGAAAGAGTCACGCCGAGTGGGGTTGATGCCCGGTAGACGACTCATTATGCTTTGTTACATCGAGGGCGGGGTCGATGAACTGTTTGCCTCTCTAACCGGGTCTCGCGGGTCACTGCAGTCAGTGCTGCTCGGCATATGGGAGCTACTCACTACATGCAATCTTCAACATCATCACATCTAGCCGCCTATGAGTTCTGTCTCCTAGACCGACCTCGCCAATTTTTGAAACGAATCTGTCTTTCGAATCACACAACTATATCGCATTACTCGCTCCAGACTAGGTCCCTGGCGCTCCATTGGTCTTCTGCTTAACACTCTACCACCAAGGAAGGACCTACCAAAACCTCCTCAGTCGGACATGTCCTTCCAATACCGGGTTGATCATGACTTGAGATGAAGATGATGCATGTCATCAGAGGCGGCACGTTTGGTTCTGGCGAGGTAAAACGTGTGCCCACCAATCGTGAAGCAACACCATTAACTCGGATAACAGGAAAAGTAATCCGAGAGACAATGGAACACAGACCTAACAGCAGCCCTCAAGACTGCATGGCAACCGGACAAGATTGCCTCTGACTTTTTCTCTAGGATTGCTCAGCGTTCAGTACGAGGCCACGATATTCCTGCGTTAGTAGACCTGCCGGCACAAAGCTTCATGGCACACGGCCTATCTTCTGGGTCATGTATTTCTCGTCAGCCCGCCAGAAAATGGTCCAGAAGCTTGAAACAGGACTTTCCGAAGCTTCAAGTGCTGCCATACCTAAAACGCCCTTACACAGGCAGCCACATCATTCTCAGCACCCTGCTCTCAATGTACTCAACAGCTTTGTAGGGCAGAAAGTACGTGAAAATCACGCTTGCCCAGTCGTTGCACAACGTCTCCTACTCAGAAGACATGTTGTACATACGTACGTGGAAATCGAACAACGGCGCCAGCAGCCAATAATCCCAGAAAGATCCGCCAACAAAACGACCCCTTCCTGTCTCAACCTCGGTCTCGGAGCAAGCTGAGAAGAAGCACATCACGCAGACCCAGACAGCCCAACCACGAGACAGCAAATCAATCGCCCACACATACACCCCTTCTCTCATACCTATCGCTCGACAAGCTCGGTAAATGGACATCCCAAAAGGCAGCTGCACACTGAATCTGCCCAATGCGGCGCATCGCATACAGGGACACGACGCGCTGCCATTGCCCTCTCGCAGCACGAGTCCCGCGGTACCCCACACCAGGCCGGGGTCTAGACACGTTACGGGGCCCGCGGCCTCCGGGTGGGTGCGGGCTCAGGCTCGCAGGCTTTGATCCGTGTTATGTTTCTTCGTGACGAACTACGATATGATACCGTCGCTCTTGCGCGACGGCCTCTGTGTGTCGAAACTCCGGTCCCCCTCCAGCGGCCCACCGAACTTCCCATCGCTAGCCATGAGGGCATCGTCGCCCTCTCAAAGCAGCGGGATGTGTACGTTTCACATGCGCGAGAGGCGCAGATAGATGCTGATGAGAACGCGACGGCGCTCGCCCTCGGTCATTTTGGTGTAGCAGTGGGAGAAGGCAACGCCGAGGGAGGATGCCGCGCCATCTTGCAACCGTGGTCATCCGGACTGTCGGGCATGGTCAGGTGGTCGGCCTCTGGGCGGGAGAAAGCCATATCGAGATCAACAAGGTCGGTATGCCTGTCGAGAACGATGTGTGTTTCAGCCAAGGTGGGAGGGAGGTCTTTGGGCACCGAGCCGTCACACTTTGCGGACCGGACTTGATGGCTCAGGGCTACGTCGCCGGCACAGGCGTTGAGTTCGGGGCGGAAGGCGACGAACTGAAGCCAGAGTGGGTAATTTGCTGTGAGGACGTAGATGGACGGTCATATCAATGTTTCTCAGCTCTATGTGGATGAGTTGCTCGATGAGGCTGGACCCCGAGTCGAAAGGCACGCACCTGGCTTGCCCATCAACCGCATATTTCTGACGTGTCTGCCTGGTCTCTGACTCTTTTTCTTCCCGGGCGCAGGGTCGGGAGGAGACAGGCTTTAAGAACAGCTGAC